AGAACATAGTCCTCCTGACGACTGCCTTCCTAGGAATAATAAGGAACACCCTCAAATAAAGTTACATCTACACACACAAATTGTTTACGAATAGTTGGACTGTAACATTTATATCCCTCTTGAGTGCGAGAATAACCTAAGAAAACATCATTTGTGAGCATGAGGATGAAGTTTGTCTCGTCCCAGGCTTAGATTATGAACAAAACAGACACACCTAAACACCTTTGGAGGAATGGAAAAAGGGTTTTTGTTAGAAAACATCATTTGGAAGGGTGATTTTCCTTGAAGGAACCTAGAAGGAATGCGGTTTAAAAGATAAGGCTCCAACCAGAATTGCATCTGCCCAAAAATGTTTTGGAACATGCACTTGAATTATTAAGGCACGAGCGATCGCTAGGAGTGGGCCATTCTTTTGTTCAACAACTCCATTTTGTTGCGGGGTGTCAACACAAGATGTTTGATGGATAATGCCCCTCGACTCAAGAAACTTTTGAAAAACATTAAGTTTATATTCAAGGGCATTGCCAATTCTAATAACAAGTAATTTTGCATCAAACTAATTTTGAATTTCAGCATATAGGGATTGAAAAACAGAGAATACTTGAGATCTATCTTTAAGAATATAAACCCAAGTTAAACGTGAATAATCATCAATAAATGACACAAAACAACGAGAACCAAATAAACCAGTAGTACGAACTGGTCCCCAAACATCCAAATGTACTAACTCAAAAGGTTTTAAACTTTTTTTTATCAAAACAAGACTTAAAAGTAACCTAATGATGTTTACTAAGTTCGCAAGTAGTACAATTAAACTTTAAAAAATCAACTAAAAAAGGGACCAAGCCTCGAAGACTATTTGAAGAGGGATGTCCAAGGCGATAATGCCACTGGTAAGCTGAAAAGGAGTTGAAATGTAGAGCTGTCGGAGCATGGCTGGAAGTAGTAAAGACCATCCTTCTCAAACCCACCAACAATCGTCTTGTTCATCTTGAGATCCTGAAAGACACAACGGGAAGGAGAAAAAGTAACTAAGCAATTTAAATTTAATATCAATTTGCGAACTAACAATAAATTGAATGAAAATTGAGGGATGTATAAAACTGATGAAAAAGTGAGACCAAAAGTGCGGAAGGTACCAATTCCATAAACAGGTGATTTGGCACCATTTGCTATAGTAACAACCGATGGTGAGAAAACATGAGAAATATCAGAAAGAAGAGATGGATTACCTGTCATGTGATCGGATGCCCCTGAATCAATGATCCAAGGTGTAGAAGATGAAGCATGGAGACAAGTATTACTTGAAGTAACGATAGTAGCAGTGGAGCTGATTTGCATGCTCGCGCTTTACCAGAGAATCATATTCGGCTTTTGAGAGAACGACTTGTTCATTCGCAGGAGTTGGAGTAGTCTCCTTCGAAATCGAAGCTTGATTAGCCCAAGCTAGCTTGCCTTGAAGAGCCCAGCAGAAGTCAACAGAGTGATTGTTTCGGCCACAATGAGTACACTTCTTGCTGCCGTGACCCCCTCTGCCGCCATGAGTACCACAACCTAGGTTAGAAGGACCTCTGCCCCCTCGTCCTCCCCGGAAAGTATCATGTCGCTCAGTAGGAACAACAAGAGCAAAGTGGTTGTCCTTCTCAATCACAGGGGCATGAATAGATGCTCTTTAAACTTGAGCAAAAGTCTCACTTGCTTTGGGTATCTCCTTGCTAGACAAAATTTGCGAACTAATCGGAGCTAGTTCGTGTTTAAGTCCAGATAAAAATTTTGCCACCCGAAACTCCTTCCTGTGCTGTCTTTGTTGTTCTATGTCTTTAGTCAATGGTTAGTACTTGGTAGACAATCAGTTCTTCCCACATGCCCTTCAGTTCTGAGTAATAATCTTCAATAGAACAATCTCCCTGCTGGAGATTAAAAATATCCTGATTCAACTGATAAATACGAGAAATATTCTTCTCTGAAGAATACATGTCCCTGAGATTTTCCCAGATATCTTTGGCAGATTCTAGGAATGACACATTGTTCAAGATCTCAGGCTCCAAGCTGTTCCATAACCAAGTCATAATCTGAGCATCTTCTTTCTCCCAAGCCTCAATAATCTTTTCATCACTGGTGGGTTTGGTTGATTTAAGATACGATAGTTTTCCTCGAGCTCTTAAGAACACCTCTACGGCTCGAGACCATTGAAGGTAGTTCGAGCCTTTCAGTTTGGTGTTGGTGATTGATCTAAGAAGATGGGATTCCTTAGTATCCATCACAAGAGTAGCGGGCGGGAGCTGAGATAAGAGAACCAAGATCTAGACGAGATGAACCCGAGAGAAATTATCGAGGGGAGAGCCGAGGAGGGATCCGAGAGAGATTGCCAAAACGAGAACTAAGATCATCGAGGAGTGATCGCCGAGAAGGGATTGCTGAGAGAAAGCCGAGATGGAATCAAGATCGGAGAGTCTGAATAAAATAAATAAATAAAAAAAGAAAAAAAAAAAAAAATTAAGAGGAATCGATTTCCGCTCTGAAACCATGTTGGCATATATGAAAATGTATATGTTATTGACTAAGTAATACAATAATACAATGGTGTTTATATAAGAGAAGCTTCGGGAGTAGGTGAGTGGAGAATAAGTTAAACCTGTACATAGTAATTCTATATATGGTAATGAGGAGTAGGTGACAACTCATACAATACTATACATTAGATATCATTCGCTTATGTGCGCTTGCGAAGTAATTTTGGGAGACACTCGGGATTTTGTTACTATCGAGCGAGGGTATAGCCCTCGGGGTGAAAATTCCTTTTTATAGTAGCCATTCGGTTTGTATACTGAGTTATCCCATTTGATGATTTCAAATTCTTATTTACAAGCTGGCATCCATGTGTAGTTGCGATTTGGGTTTTCATGTACATTTCATTTTCTTTGTATATGCTTACTTGGAATGAAATGGGTGCATTTATGTTTCTCTTGCTAGTTCTAGGATGATCCTAGGAATTCCCTTGGAGTAGACGTTAGGGAGCGTGTCCCTTGGATCGCTTAGCCCACATCATGTTTGTAGGATTCAAAGGAACGTAGTTTATTTGTATAACATATCATAACATTATTTTGCTTACCCCGTTGAAATTACTCTCTTTTTAAGAAAAAAGTGTTGCATTAGAGGATCTTCCTCTCCCATAGCTTGGATGGGGTGTTGATGATATATTTTGGTGCTTGTGGATGATGTTTGATGTTTGATGTGCTAAATGTAACTTTTGTATGACTTGTGTGATGTTGTGGCCTGAATTTGGTGCCGAGTTGCGTTGCGACCCGACAACCCGATGGATGAGCTTTGTGAATTATTTTGACCCCATTTTGCTTGTAGGTTGCGGACCCTAATTAGTACTCTCTTCTAGTCTGATATATAAAGACTCTTAGGGTTTGGAGTGCATTATTGAGAGACTGAAAATCGTACAGAGAAGAGTGAGGGGCTGAAACTTGTAATCTCCGATTTTATACATAATGAAAACTTTCGCCGGATCTCCACTGTGGACGTAGGCTTTGCCGAACCATGTATAAATCTTTGTGTTCTTTATGTGGTGTGTTTGTTTTTCTGTCGTGTTTCGTGATTGTTGCTTGGGTTTGCTGCGTTTCGTATTTTGACTTAGCATGTACATGGACAACATAAATAGAATGGCTATTCATGTATTTTATGGCATATCTATGTATTATGCTGTAATGAGGCCAAGTTGGCCATTCTCTTCATGTATGTATAAGGCCTAAATGGTCAATTCTTGATGGGTAGATGAAAGATTAACCTTCTCTTGGCATTTGCATGTTCGATTCATAGGTTTCCCCATCATTTCATTGTTTAATGTTCATTTCCTTGTTGGCCCTTATCATTCACATCATTAGATTGGCCTTGGGATGACCTAAGTTATTGTTTGGACAATCATGGAACTCATGTATTAGAATTAGTTGGAGTTCATGGCCTTAGTACCTTTATAGGTACACATTTTTCAGCTCCTAGACTGAAACTCAAGTAGTCGACTACTGGTGGACCATTTTGTCCAAAACAGAATGCATGCTCTCGGGATCTCACTTCCAGCTGACTGGTCCTCACCGCCAGTCTTTTGCTCCTCCTAATGCTTTGTCCTTTACTTCCTCTTGAGGGTCTTTTTGATGGGACTTCGTTTAGGGACTAGGGACTCTCTTTGTGGTTTTTGGGCAATGTTTTAAGGACCATACGAGGAGTTCAAAACCTATTTTTAAAATGAGGAACCGGGACTAGCCGGGGACGCTTCCGGGCAATGTTTTCAAATTGAGTTCCGACCTTCATCAAATGTTTTTAAACGTATAAAATGACTTGAAGGACTTCATTTGACTTGTTTAGAGTCAATTTACCCTCTTTCCTTGTCTGGGTCCAATGTGTACCCATGTGACCAAAGTAGGCTAGGTTGACTTCGACTTCTCTTGTTTCCCTAAATATTCATTTTTCATATGTTATTGGGATGTATGTGAGATCATTTTGGTGTTGTTGATTCATCATTCATGGTCATGTTAGCCATATGGGCAAATGTGGGTTTTAGCTTCCGCTTTTGGGACTCAGGTTTTGAGTCGGGTTTCCTAGCATTTCATTCATGCACCGGGTCCTCAGGATTGGAGGCGTGACAGTTTTCATGTCCATCCCCCAGCACAAAATTAAGAAGTCCCTACATAAAATCAAGTGTAGCTTGGGATTGTCACTACATAATTCAGATGAAAGAACACTACTTGATCGCTCAACCCTCCCTTAGCCCCTTCAGTAGGTTTGTTGCAGATGCCAATAGGTCTCAAGTGCATAAATTTGTCACTGGCAATCATCATTTTGCCATCATCATAATTATTATTATAGTTGTTGCTAAAGGAAGATTAAATACAATCAGGCATGTAATTCTGAATTATTGCTTTATGTTGGCATGATTTGCTTTATATTTATTCACTCTTTACCCTTCGTCACTTTCTTTTTTGATATTTGATGTGTAGGTCAAAGATATGATGGATCTTGAGTCAGTGCATATGTCATATCTTACTGATTCCCTGCATATGTAAGTTTACATATCTGTTAATTTAATGTCCAATATTTCATTTGCAGCACTATTTGTAGCCTTAAATTTACAGCACTTTTTAAATTTTAAAAATTGACCCAATTCTATCAATTAAGCAAATCTATTTGTTATTATTTGTCATCAATTATTTGAATGTATTCTATTGTTCCAACTATCTTCTGTCAAAGCATGAGTTGTGGTGGCTCTCTCACTAGATGCAAATTGCAATGTTAGGATGAAACTTAAGGATTTTTTGGGAAGACCAAAGATAATATGATGAGAGAAAGAGGGAGGTAGTTAATATAGTTTGCTTACTTCTCAGTCTAATTGAATTAACGTCACAAATGAGAAAGGCTTCTACACATTTAAGGAGTTAAATATGATTGTAAGAAATAATTACTCTGGTAAGAATCTTACTAGACTTTTGCATGACAGTCTTGTCATAATGGATCTTATGTACTGCTTAATTAGATCCTTGCTAGCTGCCTTTCCGGCTATCCATGATGACATATGAAATGCATCTGAATCCAGATAGCTTCTAATCATGAACATGTTAATTAACCTTGATATGGTTGGTTTGTATGATCACGTTGGATTACGTTTTGATACCAATGCTTACAAAAGCCTTCAGGTTATAGTATTAGTCATTGCTTGGCAATTTCATATCTCAAGTACTTGTCATAGAAGGGAAGTTGGAAATAACTTGTATCTATCGCTGTCAAAATCTTATTTAACAGAGGACCTAGCTACTGCAGCCTTTTATTACTCCTCAAGGTTAATGATTGCTTCAGATGAAGCACGATATGATTTAGACAAGGAATACACACTCTCTCTCTCTCTATGCAACTTCGCAACCATCAGTCTATGCAAACCTATGAAACTCTTATTTTTTGGTAAATCAAAACCAGGAGCACTGCTTCCTTGAGTTTCTCTCTCTTTTTCTGAAGAAAGCCCTGAAACCTTAAATCTGCCCTATTTTTCTAATTTACAACAAGCAATAAAGAATAAAAGAACTAGTTTTAAAGAATGGCAAAAAAGTAAGATGATTTAGAGAAATACAAATGAGGATGAAAAGAGTTCAAATTAGAGAAATACATTTTTTTTTTTTTTTTATAAGTAATAATAACATTAAAAAAGGCGTTCAAAAGGGGAACGCGTCCCTAATACAGAAGTGGAACCGGGACTAAGGCCCCAAAGAATCCAAAAAAGTAATTTAATCTTCAGAAGAGGAGCAAAAGCTCCTTTTCACATAATTGAAAAGAGAACGAAGAATGTAAAGTTTCAGCATTGCCGTAGACGACTCTATCCCTTCGAACATTCTGCTATTTCTCTCCTTCCAAATGCACCACCATATACAACGTGGGACAATTCTCCAGAAATCGCGTACATCTCTTCTCACACGACATTCTTTCCAAACATGAATTAATTCCTTAGTATATCGTGGCATTACCCAAGACATACCAAGCAATCTAACAATAAGATTCCAATAGTCTTTTGCCACAGGGCAATGCATAAGGAGGTGATTAACTGACTCCGCATCATTCTTGCATAGACAACACCTTGCCCCTTTTCCTCAAATTATCAATTGTCAGAATCTTTCCCCAAACAGCGGTCCAGACAAAGAAAGCCACCCTAGTTGGAGCCATGAACTGCCAAATAGTTTTCCACGAGAAGTCATGATTGTCAAAATTAGACAAGCATAAGAACAAGGATCTTACTTCGAAACGACCGTGGGAAGAAGGAACCCAAATCAAATCGTCATTCTCTCTGCCAACACCCTCCTGTCGATACAGAAGTTCTAGAAAAACACATACCTCATCCATCTCCCAATCTTGAAAAGAGCGTTGAAAATGCACATCCCACGTAATCCCACTGCTATCAAGCCGATAACAGTCAACTACGTAGGCGTGTTTATCAACTGCAATACTGAATAATCTAGGAAATGTACGAGATAGTGGCTGATCACCTTACCAAAGATCTTCCCAAAACCGAACGCGACGTCCATCACGGACTTTGTATCTGATATGAGCAGAAAAGGCATCCCTACCCTTCCGAATAGACTTCCACATCCCTACTCCTCCCACAAGGGTAACCGGATGTGTAGACCAGCCTCCATGCTCTTCCCCAAACCGATGAGAGACTAACCTGCGCCAAGGACGATGTCTTTCCCTTCCACATCTCCATAACCATTTACCCAGGAGAGCTTGATTGAAAGGAACAAGTCGTCTTATTCCAAGACCACCCAATTTCACAGGTTTGCAAACTTGCTCCCATCTGACAAGGTGGTACTTGAACTCATCGCCCCTTCCTCCCCATAGGAAATCCCTATGAATTTTTTCAATCCTATCTGCAATGGAACAAGGGATTTGGAACATAGAAAGAAAATAAGTGGGAAGGCTTGATAACGTACTCTTAATAAGAGTAACTTTACCCCCCTTGGACAAGTATTGTTTCTTCCATCTTGCCGATCTCTTCGCATACCTGTGAATCATTGAATCCCAACTCCCCACTATCCTTGAAGAGACCCTTAGGGGCAAGCCCAAATAAGGAATAGGGAAAGAACTCACCCTGCATCCAAGAACTGCAGCTAAAGAGGACATATCTTGAACATTCCCTTCTGGGATAAGCACACTCTTAGCTACATTGACCTTTAGCCCGGAAACCGCCTGAAAACAAGTCAGTATACACCTCAAGTATCGAAGTTTAGACACATCAACATCACAGAAAATCAGGGTATCGTTTGCAAAAAGTAAATGAGAAATCTCCATCTGATGGACTAGATCTCTACCCACCCTTAATCCCTTAATAAAACCAAGGTCCTCTGCCCTGTGCATAAGTCTGCTTAAACCCTTCATAACAATAAGAAAAAGGAAAGATGACAAAGGATCACCTTGTCTTATACCCTGAGTGCAACCAAAGAAGCCAGCTGGAGAACCATTCACAATTATTGAAAACTTGACAGACGAAAGACAAGTCTCAATCCACTTCCTCCATTTACTTCCAAACCCCATTCTTTGTAACAAATAGAGTAGGAAATTCCAATTCACATGATCGTATGCTTTCTCAATATCAAGTTTGTATAATACTCCAGGAATACCACTACGCAATCTGGAGTCCAAACATTCGCCAATAATAAGAACTGAATCAAAAATTTGCCGTCCTCCAACAAAAGCATTTTGGGAGTCCGAAATAATCCCATCCATTACTTCTCTCATCCTTAGAGCAAGCACCTTAGCAATAAGTTTGTAAATACAACCCACCAAACTGATTGGACGGAAATCCTTTATGTCAGAAGCGCCTCGCTTCGTAGGGATAAGGGCAATAAATGAGGCATTAAGCGACTTCTCAAAGACGCCAAAAGAATGAAACTCCTGAAAAGTACCCATTACCTCATGTCTTACTACCGCCCAACTTTCCATCAAAAAACGCATAGTAAAGCCATTAGGCCCAGGAGCTTTGTCGCCATTACAACTTAATAAAGCCTTTAGAACTTCTTCTTCAGTAAAAGGATTCTCAATCCTATCACTATCCAGCTCAAAAATAGCCTCAAATTAGAGAGAGGATGAAAAGAATACATGGATTAAGTTAGGTGCAGTAAGGATATGGATCAGACAATATTATTTTTTTTTTTTATAAGTAAAAATAACATTAAAAAAAGGTGTTCAAGAAGGGAACGCGTCCCAATTACAAAAGTGGAACCGGGACTAAGGCCCCAAAGAATCCAAAAAAGTAATTAAATCATATGAAAAAGAACAAAAGCTCCTCTTCACAAAATTGAAGAGAGAACGAAGAATGTAAAGTTTGACCGTTTCCGTAGGCGACTCTTTTCCTTCGAACATTCTGCTATTTCTCTCCTTCCAAATGCACCACCATACACAATGTGGTACAATTCTCCAGAAATCGCGAACGTCTTTTCTCACTCGACAACCTCTCCAAATATGAATCAATTCCTTAATAGATCGTGGCATAACCCAACACATGCCAAACAACCCAACAATAAGATTCCAACAATTAATCGCCACAGGGCAATGCAAAAGGAGGTGATTAACGGACTCCTCATCATCCTTGCATAGACAACAGTGATTAACTATACAATTGCCCCTTTTTCTCAAATTATCAATTGTCAAAATCTTTCCCCACACAGTAGTCCAAACAAAGAAAGCCACCCTAGTTGGAGCCATAGACCGCCAAATAGTTTTCCACGGGAAGTCTCGATTAACAAAATTTGACAAACATAAGAACAAAGATCTAACTTCGAAACGACTATGGGAAGAGGGAACCCAAATTAAAACATCATTACCTTTACTAACACCCTCCTGTCGATATAGAAGATCCAAAAAAACACATACTTCGTCGATCTTCCAATCCTCAAAAGAGCGCCGAAAATGCACATCCCATATAATCCCGCTGCTATCAAGCCGATAGCAGTCGACTATGTAGGCGTGTTTATCAACAGCAATACTAAATAATCTTGGAAATGTATGAGAAAGTGGCTGATCCCCACACCAGAGATCTTCCCAAAACCGAATGCAACGTCCATCACGAAGTTTGAATCTGATATGAGCCGAAAAAACATCCCATCCCTTCCGAATAGCTTTCCACATCCCTACTCCTCCCACTAGGGTAACCGGACGCGTAGACCAACCTCCAGCCTCTTCGCCAAACCGACAAGAGACTAACCTGCGCCATGGTCAATGTCTTTCCCTCCCATATCTCCATAACCACTTACCCAGGAGAGCTTGATTGAAAGGAACTAATCGTCTTATTCCAAGTCCACCCAATTTCACAGGCTTACAAACTTCCTCCCATCTGACAAGGTGGTACTTGAACTCATCGCCCTTACCACCCCAAAGGAAATTCCTTTGAGTTTTTTCAATCCTGTCTGCAATGGAACAAGGGATTTGGAACATAGAACGAAAATAAGTGGGGAGGCTCGACAAGGTGCTCTTAATAAGAGTAACTTTACCCCCTTTTGACAAGTATTGCTTCTTCCAACTTGCTAATCTCTTCGCATACCTGTCAATCACGGAATCCCAACTCCCCACTAAACTTGAAGAGACCTCTAGGGGCAAACCCAAATAAGGAATAGGGAATAAGCTCACCCTGCATCCAAGGACTGCAGCTAAAGAGGAAATATCCGGAACATTCCCTACTGGGACAAGCACACTCTTTGCTACATTGACCTTTAGCCCGGAAACTGCCTGAAAACAAGTCAGAACACACCTCAAGTATCGAAGTTGAGACACATCAGCATCACAGAAAACCAGGGTGTCATCTGCAAAGAGTAAATGGGAAATCTCCATAACAACAAGAAAAAGGAAAGATGACAAAGGATTACCTTGTCTTATACCTCGACAATATTATTTAAAAATAAAGATATATTAGAAAGATGGAAAAATTACTTTCAACAATTACTAAATGAGGAATATACTCGGGAAGAAGTCGTAAGTAAAGGTGGTGTAAAGGGTGCTTGTTGCATAGGAGCGACTTGCCCCCCTAGCATCTGATTGTTTTTTATCTGTGTTCATACATAGGAATGGAAAATGAAAATTCATAAGAAGGAAGTAGTGGACACACTTAAGGAAATGAGTAATAATAAAGCTGAAGGACCAGATAGCACTTATAAAGGCATGGAGAATTTTAGGAAAGATGGGTGTTAAAGGGTTTAGTTATTGAACAAAATTTTAAGAGAAGAAAGAATGCCCGAGTGAGTGGAGGAAAAACACAATAGTACCAATATATAAAAATAAAGGAGATATACAAAATTGTGCGAATTATAGAGGAATTAAATTGATAAGTCATAGAATGCAATTGCAGGAAAGGATAATTGAGCAACGATTAAGGAAAGAAACATTAATATCTGATAACCAATTCAGATTAATGCTAGGTAGATCTACTATGGAAGCCATATACTTGGTAAGACAATTAATAGGAGAATATCGGAGTAAACAAAAAGACTTACATAAGGTTTTCATAGATTTACAAAAGAGAGATGACAGAGTGCCAAGGGACATAATTTGGAGGGCTCTACAAAAAAAAAAAAAAAAAAAAAAAATGAAGAAGAAAAGAAAAGAAAAAAGTACTTATAAAGCTTATAACTTTTATTTGGGATATGTATAGTGGGACATTGACTAGAGCTCATATTACATGCAGAGAAACTAGCTAATTTCCTATAAGAGTGAGTCTACACCGAGGATCAGTGTTAAGTCCATACCTATTTGCAACAGTGTTAGGCGAAATAATGAAAGATCTTTAAGAAAATATTTTTTGGTGTATGTTATTTGTGGGTGACAGTCTTAGTAGATACTTCAAAGGAAGCCTTAGCAACAAAATTGGAAATATGGAGAAAGACATTAGAAGCAAAAGGCTTAAAAATTAGTAAAACTAAAACAAACTTTACGGAATGTAAATTTGATGAACAAACAAATGATGACAATATAAATATTACAATCGAGGATCAAAGAATTAATAATTATTTTTGTTACCTATAATCAATACTACAAAAAGATGGGGAGATAGATGGTGATGTAGTGAGTAGAATTGGAGTTAGGGAGGACAAAATGGAGGCAAGCTAGTGGTATACTTTGTGACAAAAGAATACCTAATAAATTAGAAGGAAAATTCTTTAGAACGGTTATTAGACAAGCTATTATATTGTGGAGTATAGTGTTGGGCATTGAAAAAGAGACGAGAACAACACATCCATGTTGCACAAATGAGGATGCTACATTGGATGACAGGAATAACTAGAAAAGATGAGATTAATAATGAATGTGTGAATGGAACACTAGGTATAGCACCTATAACCTATAAAATTAGAGAAAATAGACTTAGGTGGTATGGTCACATTCATCTTAGACCCGATGATGTACCGATTAGAAGAGGAAGAGGTGTTTGCCTATAATGTAAGCAACAAAGAGGCCGACCAAACTCGTTCTTTTCCGAAGTGAGTGTGTTGCTTCAACAAGGCTTTAGTCTCTTTTGTCTCCTAGTGCCTCAGGCGTATTATATCAAGGCCTTTGGGGTAACTTTTCTCCTTTAATAACACTGGTTTTGATGACCCGGTGAAGGTTCTACAAAAGTATACTAGAGCATAGCAACAATTGCATACTTTTGAAGTCAAATCGAATCTCAAACAAATGACTTCACACCTTTTCTAGGAGAATTTATTACACAAGGGTAAGGCAATTAGGCAAAAAAGTAAATTTAAAAATGTGAGAAATGGTGATGATTGGTGTACGGTTTCATAATTCTTATTGTTAGAAAAAGTTTCTGTGTAAGTTAGACATGGTACCATGTCAACTCCGATATTTAGAATTTAGAAAAGACCCCTCTCTCTCTCTCTCTCTCGGCTTAGATTTAGCTTCTGTGATTTTCATTATGATTCTTGATTAACTGTTGTTATCACCTTCTCAGATGTTTCTTGTCTGATGAAACCCGGCCTATTGCCAGAATCATTGAAAGCATCTTGCAATGTGCACTGGATTTGAGGTTTTGTCTAATTGGAGGCACTCGTGAAGCTGAAGTTCCTGGAGGTTTGTCAGGGAAACTTTCTTGGATCAACATTTCCCAGGTTATTCCCATCATGTTACTTGTACAACTTGCACCAGATTTTCTTTCAATATATTCAGTAGATAATTTTGAGATTTTGGGGGATGGCAACGAGGGCTGCAGTCTAACATGGTTAGATTCTGAACCTAATATAGGGATGGGGTTACACCAGAAAAATTATTATTTTGGACATGTCTTCCGTAAGCATATGTAGCTAGCTCCTACTGTAACTACCACTAACCAGATGCATTATTAGAATTCTTGAAGTCGTTTTGCGTGCTGCGTAGGTTTAGTTCACTTTCAAAAGAAATAAAGTATTTGAAACCCCAGTAAATTGCTTATTGTCAAGGAATCGCCATTTTGGAGTAGTAGTTGCATTGTTAGATTGGAAGTACATTGATTGCTTTCAGAATCATATTCACTCCCAAAGGGAAAATAGTACTTGATACACGATAAATTGCTAATTGACAAAAGACTGAATTTTTGGAAAACCATTGAAGTTGAACAATCATGAATTCTCTGGTGGTTCAGACATATGTAAAATTCCAGACTGTTGAACCCAAAAACTCAATGGTTCACGAAATGGTTTTAACTGTCCACTGTCTAGAGCAACTAGGTTGGACAGATTGGGTTGGCCCGGTTGAACTGTATCATCATGGTGATGTTATATACACAGAATATCATAAATATGAAAAATCACAAGGAGAACTGACAGCTCCATCAGGCTGTTCAGATTATATAGTTTGTTGGCGGAACCAATCCCCGTGCACTGTTTGATTTCAAAAATAAAATGGGCCTGATTATGTTCCTGTTCTATAAGCAAACCCGCTTTTGCAAACCAAAACCAATAAATTAATAAAAACAGAACACGTGGAGAAAGGTAGATGGAGGAAGTGTAGAAATGATAAGGATTAAGGACTTCAAAAATATTAATACATTATAAGAAGAAAAAGATAGGTGGCTTGATCTAATCGAGAGAGAGTTCTGAAGGCTTCCAAGTTTCTTCTCTTAGGGAATAGTACAGATGGATCAATCAAGCAGTTGGGAGAGAGGAAGTGACTTCCAGATTCGCGTTGAGACAAGGATTGAACACCTAATGCAGAGAGAGAATTTTGAGTGGTATGCATTGATGATGTATTCCCTTGGGTGGTCAGTTTTCCCCTTATGAGAGTTGAAGTGTTATATAGGTCAGCCACAGTAGTGTGTTGAAACATTAGAGGCTGTGCGACTTTGTGGTGGAGTTGTGAGGTTGCTTTAGATATTTAAAGTCAGTTAACTTGTCCATTGTGCATAAAACTGAATTGACATAGTCTACTGATCACTGAATAAAACTGAATTTCCAAAGGGTTCAATTTGACCGCTTGGAGTTAAGGGCCCACTGTGCTGTTTCTGTCTCAGATTTAAACATTTCTTTAGGTAGAGAGTTCTCTCTAGCCATTTCCGTGTTTTATTTTGCTTACTAGTTGGCATAGCCTTCAATAGATGGCATCTCAGCTGTTCAGTCATATTACTAGTGCAAAAGTAAAAACTATTTTGTAGGAAAGAAGAAACTTTTTGTACGGAGTATGTTTTTATTATGCATCCATATCTCTGTGTGATGTTGGAGCTGAGAATAGGTCTCGATAAAGCTTGAAATGCTTCTGCAAGGACGTTAGCTAGGTGTATCTGAAACGTGTGATATATGCAAAGTGATCCATCTTCGTTAAATTTCAAATCAGTTGCAGAATCTTATATAGATTTGCTTGAGCTGAGTATAATAATGTCTTCTATTTGTTTTATTTTAGTAGAACTCTATAACGAAAGCAAACAATTATTAACCACCAATTTTGTCTGACTTGCAGGTGCTTGCCATAAAGGGGACTTTTGATAAAAAGATGAAAGAATTGCATTTATGCTATCTCAACTCATCTAAACATGAGGAGTTTGGCCTTTCAAGTTTTTGGGGTTGTCTGAATTTTAACGAGTACTACTCAGATGTTAAGCCAGTATGCTTTTTTGGTTGAAATCTCTGTGCCATGTGAATCATGACGAGTGGCTAATTCTGTTCCCCTTCGTACTATAGAGCAAGTCCATATGGGTTCAACAATAGAAGTGGTGCACCCACAAAATCATCACGGTGATTGTAGATGTGTTCAACATCATGATAATGCAGTATTGTGTATATTATGTAATTTGTTTTGAAATCAACCCATGCTGATTGCAGGGCTTATTTATGTATATAATGCAATGTATATGATTGTGCATTCTAATTACATGAGTGATCGGCAGGAGGCATATAATGCCACTGGTGTGGCAAGTGCTGAGAAGTTATTGATAATAGCGTGTATGCGAGTGCTTTCTTTTTTTAATCCTTAGGGTGTTGGGGACTTTATGACATACATGATGATTCATCAATATGTATGTGTATGTCAGCCATGATGAAATTGGTGCAAGTGCTCTCTGCTTGGAGGTAAGCGAGAACCTCAGGATCGGAGTGAGAAAGGTCGCGAAGCCTGTATTAGTTGTTGACCCTTAGGTTAGTTGTTGACCCTTAGGTGGTTGCTGGACATCTCCATTTTGTGCTTCGCCTTCTTTGTTGCTGGTGGAACCTTGACAACCGTGTCTGTGTCATGTGTTGACGGTGCTGATGAGACACTTGAGGAGATGAAAATGGTGAAAAAATGGTTACAACGAAGGCCAAATAGCTCAGATAGTGACTTGTCACCGACGTCCACAAAGCCACATTCATTGGCATAATCTTTGCAATAGCATCATTTATTTATCCAGTCGGTGTCTTCAGGGGTTGATTTTGTATTTGTCAATTTGCATTTACCCGGACATGAATCATAGAAATTCCATGTTTCTTTATATGACATATTCAAGGTTGTCTTTAGTTATGAGAGTTCATATGAGTTTGTCTCTTTCTACATGTCTCTTATACAGACCTACCTATTCCACGGGTGTGCACTTTGTCCTACTTAACCCACTATCCAAGAAATTCAAGATCCACCCTCTATATTAACTCTTGCCCTGTTTCTCTCTCTTGTTATTATTCTTTCTTCTTGAGTGACCGATCTAGAAAGAGAAACAGAGACAAGAGATGTCTGATACCACTGGTGCCGCTGATTCCACCACCATCTCCCCATACGTGGTAGATGAATGCCGAGGTGTCCTCCGAGTTTACAGTGATGGTTCAATCGTCCGGTCCAATAAACCGAGCTTCAACGTCCCCGTGAATGATGACGGCTCGGTCTTATGGAAAGATGTGATTTTCGACGCTGAGCACAACCTTCAGGTCCGGCTCTACAAGCCGGCTTCGCCTTCTTCTACCAAGCTGCTGCCAATCTTCTACTATATCCATGGTGGGGGCTTCTGCATCGGCTCCCGAACATGGCCCAACTGTCAAAACTACTGTTTTCGGTTGGCTTTGGATCTTCAGGCCGTGGTCGTGGCGCCTGACTATCGGCTAGCTCCGGAGAATCGCCTTCCAGCGGCCATCGAAGATGGCTTCACGGCCATGAAATGGCTACAAGCCCAAGCTGTGTCCGAGGAGGCCGATGCGTGGTTGACTGAGGTGGCTGATTTTAGCCGCGTTTTTGTATCCGGTGATTCAGCTGGTGGTAATATTGCTCATAATTTGGCGGTCCGGCTCAGGGCTGGGTCGGCCGAGCTAGCTCCTGTTCGAGTGAGAGGTTATGTTCTTTTGGCACCTTTCTTCGGAGGCGTTGTACGGTCAAGGTCGGAGGCTGAGGGACCAAAAGAAGCATTCTTGAACTTGGAGCTCATCGACAGGTTTGGTTTTGTTATATAAATTTATGAGCAGGAGGATATGACATTATGATGATGTGATTCACACTCGGTATAAATTAATTCACTTCATTTTTCGGGAGACCTACAAAAATATTGTGACCATTTTAACATTTTTCTACAGTCTTAACATTATTTTTTCACTGATTAAGACAAAATACACTGAAGCTAGGATTTTGATTGCTACTTGTATAGATGGCCAAATTGAATTATTTAAATATTTTGAGTGACTAGGTTTTGGAGGCTATCAATAGCAGTTGGAGAGAGCACTGATCACCCATTTGTGAACCCCTTTGGACCGGCAAGCCAAAGTCTTGAAGAAGTTGATCTGGATCCGATTCTGGTGGTGGTTGGCGGAAGTGATCTACTCAAAGATCGAGCTGAGGATTATGCAAAGAGGCTCAAAGGTTTGGGAAAGAAGATCGAGTACATTGAGTTTGAAGGAAAACAACATGGCTTCTTTACCATCGATCCCAACTCTGAAGCCGCAAACCGGTTGATGATGATCATCAAACGATTCACGATGGACCACAACTCCTAGACCTACCTAGCTTTATCATGCCTTGTGTATTTCATTTCCTTCTCCTTTATATATGCAATATATATGCGAAAGAAAATTCTTTCAGAAAGAGGAGAATATCTTAATATGATTATACAAATTTATTTATTTATTTAAGTTAACTCGGGATGTCCGGGATGGCACGAACTCTTAAGGTTTCTCAACAACTCGATTAATTCTCGAGGACTTGGAAGGGCGTCTCCTCACTCGGGTCTGGTAAGTCACTGTAAGGACAGCGGAGGCTAGACACAAAGAACCCGGCAGGACTCGAAACCAGACCTTGGACTTGCTAAGTTTCAAAGTCGAACAAGTAAACCGCTGGCCATATCCGAAATGGATATGATTATACAAGTTCAAATAACTTAATTGATTTTTTATTTTATTTTTCTGTTTTTGTTTTATTTTTTTGGTTGTATAGTTGTTGAAGGTTAACCAAGTTTTATAATAAATATTGTTGTTACAATGGGCTTCAGTTTGAGAAATTTACGGATACACACAAAAATTAGCCAGATACATATGATACTCACGTGGTTGGAAATTTTTTAGTCCAGTTGATTATACTATTACATATTTTTCACTTACACCTAAAATAGGTACAATACATGAGTGACCTTTTCAATAAATATGTAATCAATATCATTTAAATGTCCAATTCTTCCCATTAACATAATCTTTAGTAGAAGCATATACGTAATCAATTACATTCAATAACTTAGTAGAGGTATATACGTAATCAGTAACATTTAATAACTTTGGAGATCTTGTGAAGAGTGGTATTTTGTGTTGAAACTATTCGTGAGTTACGTTGTAAACAGTTGCTGCGATTGCTTCCCAATTTGGAGGGCTAACCTAAAATGGGCATTTTCCTGGATGTATCTCCAAATTGGCAAGGAAAATTGGCATATGAAGAATAGATGATCGTGGCTCACAGGCTTAGAGTAGTAGAGGTGAAATTTGTTCGATTGCTGGAAGTGACCTAAGCTACTTTGGATAGTTCAACGGTTTACTAAAATATGAATCTGTGTTTAGGGATAGAAGTTGGTTATTGACAGCATGAGACCAGTAGATTTGGTTGCCCGGTGGTAAAAGGGAATTCATGGTATTTTTCAGAGAGTAGATGTTGGAAGCGGGAAGCTGCCCATATGGGTATGTTGTGTGTGAATGTGATTGGGGGCGGTAGATGCTTGGAGGGATGGAGTGAAGTTCCATGAAGATCCAGAGACGAATGAGCTATGGAGAATTTTAGATGGGCATATTGTGAAACTAGCCGGTGGGATAGAGGACCTCTGAAATTTGCCAATTACAAAATTAATATCTCCCACCTTGAAACCAAGAGTAGTAGTAGGAAGAACCATTCCCTACTTGAATTTTTATCAGTGGTCTAGCAATTGGCCTGAGCTGCAAGAGCTTTCGCTAGAACCAAGAGAAATTTTGGAGAGTTGAAACCTGTTAGAAGCATCTGTTCTTGATGAGGTAAGAATTGCACTAGTCAACCCAAATCATGCAAGTTCAAATAGATAAGTTGAAAAGCTGAAAGTCTAGACCATGCATGCATTTACCACAAGCCTTTGAAACTCTCTGCATTGAATAGTCCAGAATCTGAGATAGCATTTTAGATTGATATATCACTACAAGAAAAACGGTTTTTTATCACGGTGAAAAACGCCTTCTACCATAGTTTCTAGTGTTAGTATGTTGTGAGTATTGATGCTATTATCTGATGGTCTTGTCGTGAGTTGTACCTTAGTACTCGACAAATGGGTGTATGGATCTGGTTGGTTTTGGCTAGCATGCATATTGTGGTGTAGCGTATGCGAGGTTTTGGTGTCGATTGTGTATGATGGTCCATTAGTGGAGAGGTCGCCTAGATTTGAGTTCGTAGTTCCTTACGAGTATTCGGTTGGTTCTTCTCCTTGTGTGTAAGGAGTTTAGTTCATCTCAAGTGAGATTGGGTGTCCACGGTTGGACGATTGGTGAACAGAGTGTGACAGGGTGTCGAGTGCATTTAGGTACGAGTCGTTAGTTTCTTGTGAGTGCGGGGTTCGTTACCTTTTCTGTTTGTTCTAGTCCTGGCAAGGACGTCGTTGGTTGGGAGTCTTATTCTCCATTTAGGAGTTGTGCACGTCTGTAGATGGGCGGACTCGTGTGTGGTTTGTTATATGTTGTTAGAGTTTACCGATAAAGGTTAGGTTGATTTGGTCGACTCACTCCCACAGAGGAAGGTGGAGTCTTTGGTTTTAGTGATGCTTGTTTTGAGAGTGGTTTTGACCGATGGTGAGGCACAACTTGCCGAATAGGGATTGTGTGTTTCTGGTGTCTGGTGTTAGCAGGGATGGCTAAGAGATGTGTCGTGAACTGTAGTTTGAGGATGACTAGATGATCGATGTGATGTAAGTCATGTACTCGGATATTTTTATAGGCGTTTGATTCGAATAGTGTCTTGAGGACAAGTGTCGATGTCGCCTAAGAACTACATGACTAGAGAAAGTGAATGTGGGAATAATGGGAAAGATTGACTTTGGTTTTGAGATCTCAGGCATGAGATAGTTGCATTGTGTGTTTTGACAAGGTAAAAATTGAATCGAGTAATGTTATGGAGATTAGAGTAGGTATGTGACTGTATAGTTGTTAAGGATTACGTAAAGTGATGGATTATTGATGAGTGGATATCATGGTTGTCTTGTGGACTGTGTGAGATTGTGTTTGAGGTATGGACCTGGGGAAAGGAATGATGTTTGTGTTGAGACCGAATCGATGATGAGAATGACCTGGCCAACCATTTCTCCTGAATCAGTCTTTTTTTAGCACAATATCGGGTCAAAGGTCAATGATTATTTCGATTTGTCAGAGATAGTGAGAGCATGATATTATGCGTTATGTCGGTGTGACAGTGTGGATTGGTAGTTTGTCTTAAGTATCATGATTGTCATATAATGCGATTAGTAGTCGTTGGTGCGGATATGTGATGGTGTAACTATGTGTTAGATAGGGAGTGTTTGATCTAACGGAGATGTGTAGATTTGGGTTTGAGTTCGGTTATGTGATGGACAGGATTCCTTGTCTGGGATTTTGTGTATCCTTTAAAGGATGAGTCGAGATTGGATGTTGTCATGTTCAGTAGTTTAGTGACCATTTTTCTTTCGGGCTTCTGGGCCTTGCGTAGCGGTGTAGAGTGAACCAGTATCGGCTTTGAGTCGGGCATAAAATCCAGTTGGTTTTATGTTATGATGTTGTGAATGATAAATACCCTCGTAGGGTGGTGAGCATTGAGTTTTAGTGGCAGTGGTGTGTGATTGCCTATTGGCGTCTGATGTCAAATGCAATAAGGTTGGTGAGTTCATAGCCTTACGGCTTTGTGAAGTGTCTCTTGTGAAGGTTTATGTCTGTGAGCCTCATTTTTAAGGAGGGTAGATTTCGAGGACGAAATATTTTAAGGAGGGTAGTGTTGGGATTTATATGCCTTGGCATAGCAAATTCCTATCTGGATTATAGTGACATATGTTCCTGACATATCTGAAATATTTATGATTTATATAATTGGTGAATTCAATGTATTATGTTTCGATTCATTATGAAATTGATAGTGTCCATGTAATTACAAGAAATATTTATATATATGTTTGTGATGGCAATCAATGCATGATATATAAATAGTAATCATAAATGGTTCATAGTCGGTAATTATGGATGGACTCATAATTAATTAAGATTTGAACTAGATCCGCGTTAGGTTGAGATATATTGCGAGAGCCGTCGTATGCAATTACTCCCTATCACCGTCATGACATTTGACTCTTAAGTATGAGAAAATTATAGACTCTTTTATTAATTAATAATTACTTTGATTTATTCGGCGGATTCTTCGGGATCCTTAGACCGACACTTTGGGTAGTTATGTAATTAATAGTTAGAGGGTTATATTTTCAATATTTGCATCATTGCTACTTGTATTTATTTTGTATTGATTATGGTTAATCACAAAGTAAATTCGAAGGCCTTCGTGTGTTTTTAGACAAAATGATTTATTATATATTTATTTATTTAAATTATTATTTTTGTCAAACAAATGTTTTATTGTGATCGAGTCAGAAATAATCAGAGGTACCAAAATAGATATATTAATTAAGTAGTCGGATTGATGGCTTTATTTATCCGATAACTAATTATGTATAGAGGGGTCAAAGTGCAATATTGACTTAGAGGTTATTTATTATTTAATTGGAGTTCAATTAATTTCTTTTAGTGGAGTAGAAATTAATTTATGAATTAATTGAATTGGGTCCATGGACCGGGCCAATTATTAATTCATTGTAGCCAATAAAATAATAGGCCCAATGGATTCTCACTCATAGCCCAACTTGATATTGGAATCATATTAGATTTGAGATATATGAATTAGAGATGGAGAAGGATTTGTTGTTTCCTTTTCTTTATTTTTATGTTGCCTATAAATATACATGGTCTATGTATATTTTAGGGGGTGATTTTTAATGAGAAGGAAAAAGGAATTTATTTTCTCTCTCTAGAAAATTAGGATTTATGTTCTCATCTAATGGAGGCTCCCACAAGCCTAGTTTTCCAAGGTCATTCATGGAGGCTTATGAGTGATTCCTAAAGGCAAAACAATTACCAAGAAGATGGAGATCCAAGAAGAAGGCATCTTGCTAAGGGATCTACAATAAGTGAGAACATTCACTTTAGAGGAAAGTTTTAAAGGTTTACTCCGACCCTTGATGTAAGTATTCAATCTGTTAATTGAATGATACATCATATTAAACTTGTCTCTATGTGATGAATCAAGATCTATGAATCAAAATCCCTCGAAAAGTTTTTAAAACTTGCACGTTTCCCAACAGTGGTATGAGAGCATGGTTTGATTTATTACTAGAGATCATGTTTTTATCAAAATTCATCATTCATGGATCCAATTTTGATATGCATATATATTTATTTATTGATGTATGTTGATGTATGATTTAATATGTTGATATATATTGATACATGATGATGTATGAATAATTGTGAATGAATGATGATGTATGGTTGGGCCATGGATGAAGCTTATAGGTTAAATTAATGTAATTTTATCTTTGGATGAATGTAATTAAGGCTTTGATTTAGCCGTTTGAAAGTTCAATGATGTAATT